TCCATAATTATTTGCACAAATCCCTTAAAACTGTCGCTGAGCTGATTCACCAGCGCAGTGAAAAGACGTTTCTGCTCCGACAAGTCCGCAGCAAAATTCTCTTCAACTTCGCCTTCCTCAGCAGCTTCAGATCTATTTGCTCTTTTCCCTTTAGGAGCCATTTCAAGATGTAGACTTTTCCAAAACTTGAAAGTGTAGAAAATATGTAACAGATATGAGAATCCCAGAACAGACAAGAGGAGCAGAAAAAAACGTCCGCTCTCGCTTGCAACCCGGAAAAGATTTGACTGCTATATGTATATATGTATATTATATACATACTTGCATTGTTTATTCTGTTATGGAAATGACATTTCTTGTTGGGTAAGGGAGTATTATGTAACAAGTAAAGGTGTTTAATGTGTTCTGCACCTTTAAATGTTTATGGGGTAGGACTGGATAAGTCTGACTTCTTCCTACTCCATTCAAACATGTACTAGGTATAAGCAAACTGATTCTGGATTAGCATTGGTTGGATTTGTGTAATTATGTGTGTGTTGATGTCATTTGTTCTGCATGTTTGAAAGAATAAATCAAATCAAATCAAATGTTAGGGGCTTGAGGTATCACGAGAGGGAACGAGGGCCAGAGAGAGAGAGAAGGGAGGAGAGGAAAACGGAGAGAAAAAAGAACGGGGAGCACTGTGTAATCTTGCCGATATCTGTCACTGGAGGAGTTTAATACTAAATGTTTGTGTTGTCATTTTATAGGCTTTCCACATATCATGTCACTTTATTAGTTGCTTTCACATCTACAAAGATCAAGTCAGAAACATGATTTGAGGTATACAGACATCAAGGACAGCTTCAAAGATGGTAGCAACAGAAAGATAACTGTACATTTGTCTTATTGCATACAGTATCATTCATATGAATGTCATCCAGACTGTCTCCTGTGTGGAACTATTTCATCTGTTGAAAATTCAAAATAAAAAAAGCTGTAATGTCCGGCTGAATGGAAGATGGAAAAATATTGATCGTTCTGCAGGAAAGTAGAAAGCAGGTACATCACAATGTGTAATGGTTGATGGATAGTTGACTCAAGACAAATTTGGAAGAATCAAAATTTATTTATGCAAAATACACTTATTGAGATCTACATCTGATGGATGGGGAAAATGAGCACCTATAGAGCGGGGGAGATGAGTCTTTGTTTCTGAATCTGTTGAAAGTTTGCCCCGTCGCGGGGGAGATGAGTCTTTGTTTCTGAACCTGTTGAAAGTTTGCCCAGTCTGTTGTTCTGAGATTAGAGGAGCATCATTCACCAGGCACAAACCAGTTCATTGTTTTGACAAGAGGTTGCAGCAGTTTTTTTTTTTCTCTGTAGCCTGGAGCTACAAACCTTACACATTCACACGGTGTAGTTTTCTATCAGTCCACTGGGTATCACTGCAAACATTTCAGTTGGATGAGTGAAAAACCATCTTACAGATCATGAGCTGCCACTGATGTTGCAACATCAAAATAAATAGCCTGTTGTACTTTGATTTGCCTAAAGAGTAAAAGCTAAATAGGCTGTAACCAGCAGAAATACTGTTTACCATGGCAGACACTGTAAGCCAGACACCAAACTTCTAGACGAATCCTATGCCAGAAAAGAAACTGTTGCTAAAACACTGACATTTCAACATCTCCATTCTAAAGAATCATGAGACTCTCATTCAATGTGGAATTAAGCATTAGAAACGTATCGACTGCACATAATGTTTAAAAAATAAATCCCTGTAAATACAGTCTTGGTGTCAACAACTTAACCAATGTAATTATTTGTCAGTATGACCTTGTTATTTGTATATATCTACACTAAATAAGCTACAGTACATCTACACTGACATAAAACACTCTACAAGATTATCACAACCAGAACATTTCCACATTGAAACATGTCAACTCTTAAGAGAGTTTGCTCTGGACAAACTTTAATATCTACAAAGGAGATGTAACAAATATATGTTGAATTTAATTTGTTTATTCAAAATTTAGTTTGGTCTTTTAAATCTTAAAGTTACACTGAGTTGTCCCACTCTTTTCACAATAAAGTGTTTCACAAAAAATCTTCTTTTCTAGCCGGTGTTACCGGGAGTTTAAGGGATTTGCTGAAAGACAAACAGGAGGCTTACGATTTAGTGAAACACTCAAGCTGAACACTCCACAAATGCATGAACAACAAACATTGTAATCTTGGCCTCCAGTGTGATGTTTTGATCATTTTCAAGTATTACCTTCAGATTTGCGGTGCAGTATCTTCCATCACTTCCATTTTATTTCCCTGATTCTTCATGTTTGGTGACCATGTATATTACGGGGCTCTGTGCTCAAACAACACTTTACCTCTCAGTGTTACTTTGCATTACTGTATGTCTCAGGTCCTAGCAGGCAGCACGTTACCACCCAGCTGGTCTCCACCCCAAAACCAACCACTGTCCACCCCAAAACCAACACCACAAAAGAGGAAAAGAAAAGCAGCTGCAGTCAGAAGCCATTTTGGGAAGTAATGAACCACATAAACAGCAGCCTGGCCACAGAGGGAAAGATACAGAAAGACTTAAAATCTCAATACATCCTCAGTCACGTGGTAAATTAAACAACAGTGGTTTTAAACAATAAATAGCTTTTGTCTTTTTTCAATGAAGCTGTGAACAAAAAAACAATAACAACAAAGAAATGTTCATTCTTATTTAAAGTTTGTAAATCCCAAACATCACAGCACACCATTGGTTCCTTTTTCATCAAAGTCAGTAACATACAGTGGGGATACTAACTGCACTTTATATTCCTACATATTAAACTTCAACTATTGCTTCACTATACTTCATGTATGCTACGATTAAGATATTCATTTTTTCTTCTTTCAGTCTTAGAAATACATTTGTGACAGTTACCTAAGTTATACATACACTGTAAATGTGTGCAGATTCAATTCTGTTTCTATAGCTTCACAAAAAAAGAGACTCCTTTGGAAAGTCCAGGGGCTATGGCTCTGTAAGGCAGATCTCCCCACTTATCTTCTTCAACTTTTGTGATCAGATATTTTAAACAAGCTCCAGTGAACGGTTTGGGAGGGAACCAGGGTGTTGGAACAGAGCTTGTGTAATGTGTGAAGTCTGAGGGGAAAAGAGAGAGAATAGTGAAGGTATGTTCTCACCAAACACAGCAATGAGTCTCAGCTCTTTTACTTATCTTCTATGCAGAGCAATGAGTGAACGAATGAGTGATGGATTCAGCAAGATGTATGCGCTCTGGTGCATTTGCATGGAGGAGATCTGACCTCGATCAAATGCAAATGGACCTACTGATCACAGGAGGTGGCAAAAATCAGTTTGCACATTCCAAACTAGGCATTTCTGGTCAAATATAAATGGACACTCAGGACATACATAGTGTATTTCCCACCTTAAACACAATATAGTGGCTCACAGCTGAACACGGTGGGAGCCTGAGGAGTCCTAACGCATCTTTGCCATATTCAGTGAGAACAATGTACCGTCAGCAAGAGGATGTGTGACAATTTGAGGATTTGTGTATGTAAAGTGGACAAAAATGTGTTGCTGAATGCTTTATTAGTGTGTCTGGCCCTGAACTTGAGACTTAAAAAAAAATAAATTTGACACTTCTGGCATATTTCCTATCTCCAATGGAACAGTAAAAAATCGAGGATTAGAAATAGAATGTGGCATGCTTGTTGAGGAAATGTGTTCCTACTGCTAGGCCATATTTGAATATATGCGCGCTTGTGCACATTTATTTGCGCTTCCTGAGCACCAGGTACATGGAGCCACTGATGAGAGTCATGGCGAAGCTGATCCAGGCCAGGACGTAGGAGGAGCCAAAGGAACCGTCCTGAAGACTGGCTACATGAAAGCTCGTATGCTGAGCCGTGTAGATGGATACTGCGATCATCAGACATAGAGCTGAGAGAAAAAAGAGGAGGAGGAGGGAATTAGACTCAGTAGTTGATGAGTTCAACCGACTGTCTCCTCAGCTGGACGTAAAGGACATTTTGCTCACATCACATGCTAGCACTAACTAGCCTAATGTCCGTTACACAGTCATCTCCAAGATGTTAGAGTGCACACATATTTGATTTCAATTCACTTGGTAAGTTAATGCAGTTTCACTCAGTAAAAACCTGGGTACTGAATAATCAATCAGTGAAACAAACAGTAAGGGCTCTGCTATTTCTCAGTCACTAGCTTAAGGAAGTTTATTGTCATTGTAATCTCTACCACAAAATTCAGTTTGGCACTCTCAAAACAGCAGCAAGGACCGACAATTTAATGCAAACCAATATGAAACAAAAAACTGAATGCAACAACAGTAGACAATAACTAAAAACAAGGACAAATAAAGTGCAGTGATAAAAGGCAGGAACAGCCCAGTGTGGGCGGCTCACTTAAAAATTCACAGTATGAAAGACTTAAAAGAAATACTGTCACATCAAAATGGGTCCTATTGCGCATTTTAATGTTTATTAATGATTGCCAAGTTTTGTAGAGGCTAAATAAAAGTTAAATAATAAATCAAATCACTGCGAGGATAAGGGGAGAGCAGATTGAATCTGGGCATGGCTTTAAAATAGTCATGGACCTGTCATGTGCATAAAGTATAAAAAAGGAATGTACAATAAGTACCATTATTTTAAATCAATAGCATCCATATAAACTTGTTTTGAAGTACCATAGTGTACACTTACATCAGATCTACTCTGCACTGAGATCTGATCTTAAACCTTTACATTCAGATGTGGCCACTGTTCAGCCTGCACTGACTCAGCCTCAAGACGTGTGGACAAAACTCTTCCCGTAGCTGGGACACTTCAAGGATTCTCTTTTATTTAAAGTAAGTTGACCGTGGATTTGCACAAAGGAGTCATTTTAAAGACAACCACATAATGCATTAAAAAGTTGAATGTGTGTGTCTGTGTGTGTGTGTCACTCACAGGCCAACAGCTGAATTACAGCGGTGAAAATGAATCTCTCTCCCTGTTTGAGCCTGAAGAGCTGAAGTATAAAGATGACGAAGCTAACACAACATAAAATTGTGGCCAGGATTATGGTAGCCTGGACCGCCTGCAGGTAGCCTGAGGGGAAAGAGCAGAAAGGAGGTGTTATATACTCAAACACAAACTCCCACACAAGTCGGCTACACAGGGCGACACGCTGTCGTACCGGCATCGGCAGTATGGCTGTTCTCCAAAGGGTAGCAGGTGGCATTACACGAGTACCACAGGTCCGAGTAGATCGCATCAGCTCCGGCCGGTGACACCACCCACCATGCCTACATCAGGGACACAGACACAGTTAAAATAATGAAACCATCCTGTGCCATCACATGCTTGTATGTTCACTCTTGGTTTATACTCACATTGTGAATGGTTGCAGCAAAAAGCAGGACGGCTCCAGCCAGATGGAAGATGATGATGAGGATTAAGATGATCAACATGGCTGCCCAGTCTGATTAACTTGACAGCTGCTTGTTGCCCGTTGGTCAGGCCAGGTAAATATCTGCAGGCTGCTTCAGTGTGTGTCTCTGGGTGGTGATCCTGCTGGATGGCTGCTTTGCAGGCTGATAGTCAAGGGTGGATCAAGATGCCTCATATGAAAGGAGTCTGTTGGAAGCAGCATAAAAGGTCACACTTTAATAACACACACAAGCACATGAAAGAGTAATCCCTTGTTCATCCTCGGGTACAATTGGGCTGTCTGCAGCTAATTACCAAAATACTCCATTTGTATGTTGTGTTCCTCAGTACTGTCATGGCTACAAAGATAGGACACGGGAGATGCTGCGTAAAACACCAGCTCATCCTTTGACCTTGGCATTTGCAGCAATATGACACAAACTAAAAGACCAGATGTGTATGGCTTCAGAAAACACTGTACTAAGTCAGCAGATCCGTGTCTTGGATTTTGTTTGTGTACATTTCCGCTTCTGAGCAAAAGACTACGTCAGCACTAGTCCTCTTTTTGAAGGGATTTCCCCTTTTAGGCTTTTTATGTTCACATTTTTTTGCCAAGAATTGTTTTCAGAGCAGAATCCATTAAAAATAGCAAACACGTCCAGAAACTCATGTGTTTGTTTATTCAGGACAGATCTTTCCAATGGCATTGTTTTAAAAGCCTATTTTACAGCTTAGTGCGACTACAACTGTGACATTTACACTCATCAAAGTCAGCCTAACAAGCCCATAGGGGGAGCACACATAGACACGTGACTGTGATCTCTGGAAAATCAAAGCTTCAGAAGCTGAGCAGGCAGACACACAAGCATGTTTAAAAGCACATGTTAGTGCAGGCACGTGCACACACATACAGTACACACAGAGCCAGACAGCAGAAGAAATAGCCCTCTCAGCCAAAATGGAGTCACAG